ACATACATACATACATACATACATACATATAGACAGACAGACGGACAGACAGACAGACAAAGCCGAATCGGGATACTGTGAAAAGCAGCAGCGCTGGTGATATTCATACCTTGGCCGGCCGGACTAGACGTGGTGACAGACACCGACCGACAAATTGGTCATCTTAAGAAGAGAGGCCGGCAGGAGACACCCTCGACCGTATCCATTATTATCGGCTCCACATGTCGATTGTGCGCCAAAACAGTAGCAGGTTCGGACACGATAGAGGTTTGGAAAGGCCTTCTTCACAGGCCGGATACAGCCAAAGCGAGATTGAACAGAAAATGTCGGTAGTACAGTTCGAAGGCAAGACTTAGAAACTGTGGCAAAAAGTGAGTTCCTCTTTGATGTTGCGCCGAGCGTCCGGTACCGTTAGGATAGCAACTACTTCTGCACTCCCCCAAAAGGGATTCACAAATGCGCCTCAAAACGGACAAGCCCAGACTCCGTGTTTTGATCTCAACATTAAGCCGCGTGATCACCAAACTCAAAGTCTTCAGGGCCTCCACGGCGATCTGTATACCCCTAACCGGCAGGAGGTTGAGATGTGCCTTAATTGCTGTTCCACTCATTTATTGTTCAATAAGATGAAAAAACGACCAAATTAAGTCAATTACTGTGAGTCATGCGGGTAACGCACATGCCAACTGCCTAGACAGGGTTTGGGTTCTCTGTGGGAATTGGCGTTTTTCCCAAACAAGCCAGTCAAGTGTGCATATGCCTGTGATTGCGCCTATCCGTGTCTCTCTGCATGCATTTGTGTGTGTGTGTGTATGTGTGTGTAATAAGTAATCCCTGTGCAAGCAAGTAAATAAGAATAAATAAATAAATGAAAGAATTAATATATGCATGTATTTACGAGTTTATTTACGTATATATGAATGAATGTATGGATTGTAGATGAATTTGGGTGCGTGCATGTGTGTGCGCAATCTTTCTATGTATGTATGTGTGTGTGTGTGTGTATGTATGGTTGCATGCAAGGATGGTTGTTTGTATGGATGAATAAATTTATTTTTGAATGAAAGAATGAATAAAGGTATAAAAAATGTATCTTTTCATCTAGTCATTTGAGTTTGTATATTTGTGTATGACTTGCCAGTGTATGATAGTTCGTGATAGTGTGCGCTGAATTAGAGTAAACTTCAATAAACAATCTAAAAATTAGGGGTAAAATATCAACTTTAATGCCTCTATAAATATGAAATAATGATAGAAATGATCAGCAAATCCTTTATGAAAACTAGGCTTGTCTTCAATTCATTCCACTTTGACAATCCACAATAACAGGCGGCATAAGGTGGCGTTGAGATTATTTCGAAAATATCTTGTAACCGTTGCCATCGCTTAGATTCTCTGCCCTGGGCGCAAAGATAGTGAAGAGCAAACTTGCTCAACCATAAATAAATTCTCATTCTAATTGGCTTGAAATTTCGACCCCCTGTTGGTTTTATTAACCCCACTTTTCTGTCAGGCAACAAATGTCTGTATGCCGTTTCGGAGATCGACAGGTGATCATACATGCTCGTGAATCCAACTGTGCATTCTCATCGAAGCCGCACTGCAGTCTCAATTCTGCCCGGGCTCGGTTAGGCCCACTAACCAGCGGGAGTCGAACTCAGACCCTGTGTCTCTTGGCTTTTGGCCGTAATGAAAGCGCAAGGAGGGTAAGGCGAGTTCAGCCGTTTGACGTATTAGGTACCGAGGCTGAGCAAAATGTTCTTGGGTCATTTGACAACCAAAACCTACAACCTTTCTTGCTCCATTCCCCGACGTGAGGTCAACACCTCTTGAATGCAAGGTGATGCCAGGGCTGACTTTTTTGTACAGAATATGGCTCGGTAATGATCCTTTTCTCACTGTACCCCATTCAAAGAAGGGTTGGAAACCGCCATCTCGAAGTGGAGATAATAGCCCTCCTCCTAATTACAATATTTTTAGTCGTGTATATATCATGTGCTTGCCTTTATTCGTTATTGACTAGCGCTAAAATTAATTTCACGAAATATGCCAAATATTTTGGAAACCATTCTATATTTATCAATTTTGCAATCATATTTTTTCACTCTTATACGTTCATTTGACAGAGTGTCTAGTTGCGTTTCGCTAAGTGCAATTTATCTTCCGAATTAGCATTTTTATGCAATATCAGTTGCTGCGTTGACACTTTTTTATGGAAATTTAGGTTAAAGAGAACAAATTAAAGTCTATTTGAAGGATACTAATATGCATACACTTTTTGGCCGAGAATCCAATCAAGGTGTTAAAACCAAAGATTAAGGTGTGGAAAAAGAAGAAGAAGAAGAGGAAATTGTATTCTTTTCCTCATAAAGAAGCTAGGGCATCCACGCCTTATCGCCTCGCAATGGTGCACAAAGAGAAGGTACCTTTACAATTAGCCCTTATTTTAGAAGTAAATAAATTGTGTAATGTTCCAATTTAAACAACGAAAGAATTGTGCTGATTAGTAAGTATATTGATTTAAAAATTCGGATAATTTCTAAAAGTGATGCACCGGTATTTAGCTAAATATTTGTGGTTATATCTTATTGATATTGTATTTTGCGAAATAAGTAGACGAAAAAATTTTATTGAACGCATAAATGTATGATAAATATATGGTTGAGTAGTGTGGTATTGACGGCACGGTATAAGTTTATCTGATGATTTATTACATCTAATTTGCAAGCGGAAATGCCGCATTAAGTCTACGCTGGAACTGTAGAAATAGAATACTCTCGTGTTTTTGAAGGATTTCTTAAATAAAGAATAAATAAGGGTGGATTTCGATGTTTATAGGACAGCAGCCCATTATGGTTTCACTACACATTTTCATTCCAAGCAAAGGTTTGCACGACAAAATCAGTGCTTCTTAGAGCCTATGAGGACTCATCGCCAGAACCGTTGACTTGGTACGATGCTCAAAGTAACCTCAACTCTCATGGCAGAAGACTCAAAGCAAGGTAAGTCTGAAAAGGTGTAAATGTTGTCCGGACCAAGTTGCAAAAACTTTTTTAAACGAGCAACAGTACATATTTTACCTTGAATGAAATGTTGACGCATCAAACACGACGTTTGGCTATGGGATCTTACTTATCTACTAGTTTAGCGAGTAGATACATTGCTCGATTGAATTTTCGATAATTCGATAGGAACTCATAATTCCAGCTCGGTTAACTAAATAGATAGCTGACAACTAAATTGTTTGGCGATACGGATAAAGTGGATTGTAAGAAACCTTGGGGTTAATGGATAAATTAAATTGGATTACTATAGAGTCGGAAATAGGGGATGGGCTACCATTTCAGGATGTCATAATGAGCGAAGTCTGTTATAAGTTAGATAGAGATGTGAAATGGAGACCCACATACAAGAGCTTCTGTCTCAGCTTCTTTTCTAATAGCACATATAAAGTTAAGTTAGGCATTTTTAAATTGAAATCAGCTACGTCTGGCACACCAGAAAATGAGCAGATTTAGGGATATATTGACGGTATGAAGATCAAGATGGTGTGGCTTTTTGTGTGGTCGCAGTCTCCTTTTGTTGTATTGAAGTTGTTTGACCTTGTTTTCGCAACTTGGTCATGTTGGTGGGAAGACTTAGAGAAGCACAACTAGTCCGGAGTCCACTGTATGCATCAGCATTTCCAGAGTAGGACCGTGGACGTGGTACATTCCCAGACGATTCGCCGGCATCGTCAGTGAGTCTTGCCATTCGTAGCACCATATTACAACTCGTCAAAGAGACATGAGGGATATATTATTATTATTATTGTTATTATTATTATTATTATTATTATTATTATTATTATTATTATTATTATTATT